TGCCTTCTCGTGGCGGGGGTGTTGTTTACGAAAATGAGAGGACGAAAAGCGAATGTCAGGCGCTTTAACCCGATCCAAAACCAATGGTGCACATGGGCTCCAGTATCCTGCGGGAACAAATGGCGTATGAACCAATCGTTGGTCACCGGCTACCATGGGACTGCATCTCCTTACGATGCTCCACTGCCTTGTGGGTTAGACCTTAAGGTCAAAGGCTCGGGGTGTGGCTCCCTAAGATAACAACCTGCTTCGGCCTGGGCACCCGGGCAGTATCGCAGCCCACACGCAATTAATGAACTGAACTGTCTATGATCATGGAAACTAATTCTCTTGCTTCGACGAACATTCAAATGATTCAATTATTACTATTGCTATTATTATTATTATTATTATTATTATTATTTACTACGTCATTATTCACCCTCTTTTATTCCTACTCCGTCTATACTTATTTTTTTTCGATTTATACAGCAGTTCGTCTATGGTGGAAATTCGACTCTATCTAAACGTTCTCGAGTCACTGTCCGGTTGAAAATTGTATGTTATCACCGAATATGAGTACTGAAGCAGTTTTTCTGAAACCACGTGCACCATTCAAACTGGCTGCCTTCAACGTTCGCACACTTATGCAGGTCGGACAACAGATAGGGCTGGCTATGTCTTTGGAAAGTCTTAATATCGATGTCTGCTCTCTATCCGAGACCCGTATTCAAGACTCTGGTGAAGTACTACAAATTCGCTCTACATCTGTCACTTCGAAAAGCTTGTTTTACGTGCGCTTATCCGGGGACCCTGTGGCATCTTCGTCATGGTCTTGCTAGCGTTGGTGCCGCACTAAGCGCTAGAGCTGAAGCAGCACTAGTCGATTGGATCCCCATTCACAGTCGGTTATGTGCTGTTAGATTAGAAAGTTCCATCAAAGTGAGAAGAAATCGGCGTTAGAAACGATGTCTTTTCGTCATCTCCGCCTATGCCCCGACAGATTGCAGCCCGGATGCAATCAAGGATGAGTTTTACCACCAGTTATCTGTTCTTCTCCAGAAAGTGCGTTCGACAGATATTGTAGTACAAGCCGGAGACTTGAATGCTCAGGTCGGGCGTCTAGGCACAGAAGAGAATCGTTTAGGTGGCCGATGGGGACTCGTTGGTCGCAGGTCAGATAACGGGGACCGTCTACTGCAACTTTGCACAGACCACAACCTGTTTCTGGCTAGCACTAACTTTCGGCACAGTCATCGCCGATGTGCCACCTGGCGTCCTCCCTCTGCATCTCAAGCCTGGACTCAGATTGATCACATCGCGATCAGCTACCGCTGGCGTGGTTGTGTACAAGACTGCCTCTCCTTTTGGAGTACCTATCTGGACTCTGACCATGCCTTGGTCTGCGCCAATCTTGCCTTACTTTTCAGTGGACAACGAAGTGACCGCCATCAACGGATTGATGTTAGCAAGCTGGTTGCAACTTCTGTTGCAAGTAAGTATCGAACCGAGCTAGCCTCTAGGCTAGCTACCATACCACCGAAAAGTATAGATGAGCGTTGGTTGCAATTGCATGACGCCATGAAAATGGCGGGTACAGGCAGTTGTGGGTTCGCGAAACGTTCCGCTTATAAGCACTGGGTTTCTGCAGGTTCCTTACAACTCATTGAAGCCCGTCGGTCTACTCCGGGTGACCGTGAGTTTGGCCACGAACGAAGGGTGTTACGTAAGGAAATTGGGCAAAGCTTGCGTAAGGACCGAGAAGCCTGGTGGTCGAAGCGTGCTAATGAGCTGGAAGCAGCAGCTGCATCTGGTAACTACCGGAAGCTCTTCCAACTCATCCGAGCCACTGGTAGCAAGAAGTCTGGTGTGAGTGAAACAATCTGCGAGGATGATGGGATGCCAATCACTAACATCCATCGACGTCTTGGACGATGGGCAGAATTTTTCGAAGGGCAGTTCAACTGGCCTGCTGCTCCGGCAACATCGGTCAGACTGTCCTGCCCTCCATGGCCGGTGACGACTGATCCACCAAACGAGGAGGAAGTCCGCAAGGAACTCCAACTCTTGAAGCGTTACAAATCACCTGGCTCAGATGACTTACCTCCGGCTCTTTTTAAAGATGGTGGTGACTTTCTGACTAAGAAATTGACGACGTTTTTACAAATGTTTGGGAGTTAAAGAGTGTATCAACGCCATGGAATGAGTCGATAGTTGTCCCTATCTTTAAAAAGGATTCACGTCGTTCCTGTAACAAGTATCGGGGGATAAGTCTACTTCCGATTGCGTCCAAGCTATTGGCTTCTGTCATACTTCATAGGTTGTTCAAAACACAAGAAAGATTGACTCGCGAGGAGCAGGCTGGGTTTCGTTCTGGTCGAGGATGTATTGATCATATCTTCACCCTCCGCCAAATGTTAGAACACCGCCATACTTTTCAAAGGCCAACAATCGTAGTGTTTCTTGACATCAGGGCTGCCTTCGATTCGTTGGACAGGACTGTTCTCTGGGATTGTCTATTGAAGAAGGGTGTGCCTGAGAAGTTTATCAACATCCTAAAAGCCCTATATAAAAACACCTCAGGCAGAGTGAGGGCATACAACCACCTTTCTCCATTGTTCCATTCGAGCAGTGGGGTTAGGCAGGGTTGCCCAATCTCACCATTCCTCTTCAACTTTGCCATCGATGACATTCTGGAAACAGCTCTCATGAATGTAAGTAATGGTGGTGTGGATCTGTTGCCTGGAGAAAGACTTCGCGACCTTGAGTATGCGGACGATATAGTCTTACTGTGCGATAATGCCCAAGGTATGCAATCCGCACTTAATCAGTTGGCAATCAGTGTCCGTAGGTATGGTATGTGCTTTGCATCTTCGAAGTGCAAAGTACTTCTACAAGACTGGCAGAATTCTAATCCTGTACTCACCCTGGACGGTGAGCAGATAGACGTAGTTGAGAAGTTCATGTATCTGGGTAGCTGCATAAGTGCTGGTGGAGGTGTGAGTGATGAGATTAATGCATGTATAGTCAAAGCCAGAGCGGCTTATGCCAATCTGGGCCATCTTTCGCGCCCTTGTCACGTTAGTCTGGCTATAAAAGGTCGAATCTACAACGCGTCGGTGAGAGCAGTTTTTCTCTATGCTTGTGAAACCTCGTCTCTCCGAGTTGAGGACGTTAGACGACTCTCTGTGTTCGATCATCGTTGTCTCCGAAAGATTGCTGACATCCAGTGGCAACACCATGTTAGTAATGCGGAGGTTCGGCATCGTGTGTTCGGGTGCAGAGATGATAATTCAATTGGTGTCACCCTCTTGAAACACCGACTTCGGTGGCTTGGACATGTTCTACGAATGTCGTCCCAGAGAATTCCACGTCGTGCATTATTTGCCGACTCTGGGAGTGATTGGAAGAAGCAGAAACGTGGTCAGTGCATGACATGGTGTCGTGGTATGAAAGAAAGCTGCAAAGGGCTGGCTTCTGTCGGTCCATCACGACTCCGTGGTTGAGGTCCGAGAGATGGTACAACACAGTGGCTAGAGACGTTATCAGATATGGCTCAGAATAGAAGCCAGTGGCGATCATGCTGTGACCTTCTTTTACTTTATTCATAAAACGTGGTTGTATCTTCCTTAACTGAAAGATTTCTTTTGATTGTACCCTTCTGTTCCCCTACTATTACTATTATTATTACACTACCTTACACCAATCTCCTCGTTGATATTTTTTTTATATCTTCTTTTTACGCTCCCCACTCTTTTCTTTTTCTCCTTCCTAAATTCTCATTGTTTTGTGTGGCGCATATATATTTGACGCACTCCTGCACCAATATATATGTGTTCAAATAAATAAATAAATAAATAAATAAATATCTTAGTACCTAAAGAAGAGCACGAGTGAATCCCCTGTGATCTCTAACTATGGATGCTATGGACCATGTGAAATAGGCAGTTAATAATCTTAAAATGTTGTGGCTCAATTTTAGTGACATAAAAGAATGAATGATAATGTATATTCTGTGCTACGGTAAGTGGTCACTGAATTCAAGCATCAAAAATTTACAAAACAGTTACTCTGACATGAAGATTGTGTTGGCTATTTTAGCTTAATGAAGATGAACCTATAAACCATATTTAGAATCTGAGAAGGAATAGTATATATTTTAATGAATTTACCTGTTAAAGGGTTCAAAAATATCTCTGTACACTTCATTTTGCAGATGAAATTAAGACCGATCTCCCAAGTAAATCAATAATTTTCGAAAAAAAGGATATATTCTCATTTGTCATTGATTATTAATTAATGGATGTATCATTACCTTTATAACTTCCTTATGCGAAATCAAATAAATTGGAAAAACAAAAGTAGCATTATTTACGAAGAAATATGGTGATTTAAAGCCCCTTCATAATTCTAAACCTATTAGATAAAAAGTTATTGCAAGAAAAACGAATGATAACCATCGTACCTAAAATCTACTAAGTATCGCTGAAAATCTAGTGTCAGACAGTACCTGTTGAGAAACGCAAGTATCTTGAAGCACAACTCGAAGCTTTTTTATTTTGAAACACCATTCTGTTAAATGGGCAAGTTTTAGATATCCTCTTTGCGAAAGTTTTACTCATGGTAATTAATGTTTTGGATTACATTCGAAATGAAACCTAAGGTTTTCTTACAATATAGCTATCAAATTTAGTTACAATACACACCAGTTTTCTGACTTAACGTTTTCAAAGTTTAAGAACATCAGAAGTTCATCAAAGTTTTCACTTTAATAACCGCGTTTCTTTAATTTAGTCAACTAGGTGATAAACGTTTTATTAGTATAATAAAAATAATGCAACTCATAATACTTACTAAGTTATTGTTTTATTTACCATGAATAAATCTGCTTTTGTCTATGGTTTTAATTAGGCTTGGGTTATGAAGAATTTACACTGAACAAAACTTAGATATGGCTTAAAACGTTTTAATACATCTGTGTAAAAAATAACTGGCTATGATGACGATAAAATGTTTGATTTCAGTAGATCGAAAACTATATTCTTGATCATTGTTTTGTCTATAACAAAAATGTCCCAAATATTTTTATGTACGTATCAAGGATAATTTTCAAAGGCATAACTTGAAGTTGATTGGAGAGGGTTGAAAGCGATTCAGTCATACATCTGTTAAATGTTTTCGAAGTTCTAAACCAACTGGAAAAAACTCTCCATTTTCCATATTGTTTCAATGTGGAACTGTGTATCACATGGTGCGAATTATATAATCTGAGAAAAGGGGAAGAAAACGAATTATAAGAGAGTATAAAATCACTAAAGGTGAATTTCATTTACTGCTGTAAGACAATTGATCTGAGTTTCTCAACATAATAATTGTTCCAATTCTCAATATTTGCAATACATTTAATAACTGTTGAAATGTAACACAAAAGTTTCTTAAATATAGAGTAATCAATGTAGAAGAGTTTGTTTCTAAATCAGGATAAGGGCACAAACATTTTTAGATTTCCTAATTTAATTGTTACTCATCATTATTGAATTATATGAATATCGCAATTAACAATGTTGAATTTGAGGACAAACATTATACTTCAGACCATAAATGTAAAACCAGTTCCAAATCATTCTCTTCCAATCAAACCAAAACATTTTTACCCCTTGACAATGCGTTATAAAGTCACTGTGAATCTGTTAGTAGTAATGACTGAATACCACCCTATTAGGAATAATATTTTCAATTATCACTGTTCAAGTGTTTCATTTTTCTCAAAATATTCTCATATTACTGAATTTCATAAATTCATTATCATTATCTGAATTTTAATTGACCCTAATAAATATGATAAATCTGAATCTGTCATGCAACTTAATTATAATCTCAAAGTTTCCGCACTTATATTTTTGGAAAGTCTATGTACCTCGAGTTTAACTTCTTCTTCATTCATGGGTTAATTTCATCATCGTTTGATAAGTAAAAAAGTCATATAAAGATGTATATTGTATTTATGAGTATTTATATACATTCATAATACCAAAAAGTAACCGAAATTAACTACATAGTCATTAGATTTTCACTAAGAAAGATGGACTTTGAGTAATTCGGCGATTTCAAAACACGATAGTGAGTGAAATAATAAGTCAATAATTTGCCAAACACTTTTAACAAGTAAATTTAATTACGACGCATGAAATTTAAAAACTGTTGATAATCCATCCCAACATCTTTGTTAATTTTATTCCTATTCATCCACTCATTGAGTTCAGTTGTTTGTATATCATAGCCCATTTCACTCAATAAACTTACTACTTCAGAAACACATATTTTCCCAGAATGATCTTTATCCATGTCGTTAAATACGCTACGCCAAACAGCTGCCCTGTAAGAAAAAAAAACTAAACTTCATGAACAATATAATGAAACACAACCTAATACTTATTTGAATTCTCCTGTAACTTTCACACTTGCAATTCGTTTTGTATTATAAAACGAAGTAATTAATATTTAGAAGTAGGTTCACCACTGACAGGTAACAATTGAATAATCAGTTAGAACTAGGAACTATTAAACAGTTGTTCTGAAACTATGATGTCAGTCCATGATAATAACTACTTTAAAATTAAATTAATGTTCACAAACCACTCAAATAGACGGTTTTTATTTAGTCTATTATAACTATCAGAAAAGTCAAGCATATACAGCCGATCTTACTTGACTAACCTGAGATACACAAACTACATGTTATGAACAATTTATGTGAAATCACAAAATAAAATCTCGTTCCCAATGTATATTTTAATGCCTAAGCCTCGATTCGACTAACGTTTAGTCAATGTTTATGTTATCGACAGGTATTATCACTTTGCTTATTGGTCTAATTATAATTTTTAATTCACATAAAAGTTTCTGACTTTCAAGAGTACAAAAAAAACACTAAAATATAATGAAAAAAATAAACATGGCACAAATAATATATCCCCTTGATACTAAGTACCTACTCCTTTTCTTCTTTCGGAACAATATTTAGTACTTTTTCATATTCTTCTAAAGTTATTTCACCATCTCCATCTAAATCGAATGTTTTGATAAATTCCTGTTGTGTATGTTGTTTTTTTTTCAAAAACAAAGAACGGAAACAAGGATGAAGTTGCTTTAATAAAAGTTGGGTTAACTCAAAATATCCATAAAAATGACATTAGTCTCAATATATTTGTTAAGGTTTGTATTATCACTTCATTGATATTCAGGACCAAATTTTAATAATTCTTCAGTTCATATATTATAAACGTTCTTAAACAATAATGATAATGATAATAATAACAGTTTTATTCAAATTATATGTTCAGTTCAAGTATAAATTTTCAGGATATCGTGCTTAATCATAGAAAGTTTTGAATAATGGCGAAAGATTTATCCGCAACTGATGGGATACCAGAGTTATCAAAGCAATCCACATAGGGTGAACATATATCAAAGAACTGATGAAAATTCAGTCCTGAACGTCAATAAAAATATAACACAAAACCTTATGAAAAAATGTAAACACCATTCTGTCGAACACATTAAAGCTACTTAAACTCAGTGACCTATTGGACAATGAATTGGACTTTGAAGTAGTAAATTCGAGTTTGAGCATGGAAATCAACAGTAGTATCCTAATACATCCAACATACGAGCCCCAAACAGGACAAAACGAGCGTTGTAGGTTCCACTGATAGATATAGTATATATACTCGCCTATATTTTCGTGGAATTATCTATCACGTTATTTATCTTCAATGACTGGTGTTTTAAATCGACACTGAATCAGTAGTTTCATCTTACAAGAGAACTTCTAACTAGTACCATTGAGTTACTTCCTTTCAGTACAGATCTAGAATGCAAGGTTTAACTGATAACAATACTCAAATTTTATTTGAACGAGTGTGTACTGCTTCAATTAAACGGACTCATTGACCTTAGTTTTAGGTTTAGTGTTAACTCACAATATGTGATTAGATATCATAGGGGAGATTTCACCGCCATTTTCCACATTAGGAATTTCCAGAATGATTACGATTAGTGATGATATTATATAATTTACTGTGACGTATAGCTTAGTCTCATCAAGCCTCACAACTCAGAATGTGGTTACATCATAAACAGCAATGATTTTTAACTCGGTAACTGTTAGTAAACATTTTGGTTCATAGGTCAAATACTCGAAAATAAGGTGCTTAATTTGAGATACACAAGACTGGAAAGATAACATACCTGTCTTAAAAGACTGCAAACTGTCATCCGGAAGATCTGAAACTATCCTATGTATTTTGATGCTTATTAGAAAGGTATGCTCATAAGCTTGGGATAGTTGATATTTTAACAGAAAATGGAACCTGAATTACTTGCTTTCCCAGCTAAAGAGACGAAAAGATTGGACTCTTTCGGAATTTGGCTGACCTTATGTAGGACCGACAGGTGGAGTTTTATCGATCAATGAGTGGTAACCTATATCGTACCTAGTCAGGGTTATCCCGAAATCAAAAGACTGCGGGTTAATTTAGTCAGGAAACCAACACGCTATAACCGTGACTTGTACTACTGTTTGAATTTCAGTTTTCCTCGAATGACTATTTGTATTATTTTGATGAGTTTAAACAAAGTATAACATCCAGTTTAAATTTTCAGAACTTTATTTATAAATTCCTTTCAGACCCGATTGCCGGTTATGTTTGTAAGGGCGTAAAGAAAGTAAACCCTCTGAATAAACTTTTCTTATAACTTACGAATCTTTGAATATTGCATGTATACCAACCTATCTTGTTAGACAGAATCAACATTTATATCAATAAATTTTTTTGGAGTACTAAAGCATCATTTCGGTTACTTTGTTGCTCTGAATGATATTTCACAAATAATGGACTTAGTTAAGAAAATCACCTCGACTTTATAAACTCCATATTCTCGGCATACATTAATGCACGTTTTCTTATTGCGTAAATTCTTATAAATTCAACTAGTATCTAGTTCAAATGTTCTTAAACTAAATATAATGGAAATAATTGATTTGTTAAGAACTTGTACAGCCCATGTGATGACTTATTATTTCATTTGATATGCGCTGATTGATTATATGTTAACTCAAGAATGGTGCGGACAAACAGAGTCTTTAGTAAATGTCTGGTATACCTAACTAGTCTTACTTTGAATATTTCATGGTCACCTTTTCTGAATGCAGAGTTACCAGGAACAGATAATGATCATAGGGACCAATAAACATACAGTTTCAAGCAATGACTTACTTTTGGCTAACTGTATATTTTAAACTGATAAAATTCAGATAAAGCCTTCATATGGAAACTTTGTATGCATTTATCTAGCATTCAGAAAAGAAGAAAAGCACTTAAAATAGAAGTATTTTAGTTTGTTGACATAAAAAGTCTATTGTATTTACAAATTCCAGACAGCAACAATTAACACTGTACTTTTCGATGTAAGAGTCCAACACTGACTTATTTCTCCAAAGAAAAAAATCATTATTGAGGTGAATATATATCAAAAATTTAATTCATCTTATGTATATAAAACATGTGAAAGAGTTGACACTGAAATGAAATAACTTACCGTAAGAAAGGCTTCATTAAATCCACTTAACTTCATACAATGTCTTATTTCTCTTTTTGACAGAGTCCCATTTCCATCTTTATCCATTTGACGAAATTGATCGAGTAAAATTTTTTCATCCATCTTAAAACGTTTTGAATATCAGTCACAGTTTCTGAATAAAAATTTGTTGTTACGTATTTTAATCCAATGCGACTGCCCCGTCAATTTTTATCCAGTTTTTCTTTGTTATGTAACTAATTATATCCAACCACGCTGTTGCATGTTTTATGTGACCTTGTGTCGATGATCTTATTGGTGGATGAACAGTTCAAATATTCGTTTGCCAGAAAAGTAAAAAATTTATGCACACACTACAACATCAAATCGCCTTTAATTCATAAATTCCTAGCTTCCGCACTGTGTTCATTTGTCTTTCTATAAGTATAAACTTGTTTTTATTCAGCGGCGCCAGATTTTTATTATTGAAGTTTGATGTATATGTATATATATAGGTAGAATTTCGATAAAATTTATTGTATTCGAGCTATCTTCAAACGTTCTGCATTAGAAATAAGGAGTAAGGATGAGTTTATGAAATTCCAGAAAACATTTTGAGGGTCACTGATAATAATTCATCTAAAAATGTTGACATTCGACTTCATGTTTTCCGGTTTCTATGAAACTGTGATAATAACTGGCTTTATTGCTGTGAATTCCTTTATAAAGCATATCATTTCTTTTCAAGCAGATATTATACTCTTTAAAAGTATTACATCTCAAGGTAAAAAAAGAAGAGAAAATGACTATTTTTTCATTACTTCTGTCTGTTCGGGTGACTTTTATGACAAGTATTATTTAACGACTGATTAGAAAGAGATACTTATGTTTTCTTTTCGGTGATGTTAATTTCTGGATGGAGGTTCGTGGAGATTGTTGTATTTTAATGGTTGAATTCATAAGTCAATGTAATCTAGACCAATATTAAAAATCTGGAATCACTACACAGCTGTTTCGACCTAGTATGGGACTCCTCAACAGTGCTCGTCCACGAGTCCGCACACGGTAGTCGAACCCAAGACCTTCGGTCTAGCGTGCGAACGCTTTACCTCTAGACCACTGATCCGGAATTCAACGGTGTTAATTTCTAACTTCAATCGATCGTGGGTACGCACTGTTGAGGAGTCCCATACTGAGACTAAATGGCCGTTCAGTGTTTCCAGGTTATCAACAGTTGTCTAGCTTAAATCGACTCATGATTTCCATAAAATCCAACAATCTCCACTACCCCAAACTGAAAGGTGATTCAGTAAACGAAATTATTCTTGGTACATGATATATACCTGTGTAACAATAAATTAATGAAACAGTTCGATTATATTGGGTTCGAGCTAAGAAATTATCGTGATTCCGATTAGAACGAAGTACATTACGAATCAACTGTGGTGGGTTTTTTGTTACACTGATGTTCAAATTCAAGTTTATTGATTATAAACAAGAAAACTGGTTAGTGTAGGTAGCAGCTTGATTTCCTATATCAACTACACTACAATTGTGTTTTTAACTTCATGACTCACAAATAAAATATCCTTATTGATAATGTTCATTCAGTAATTTACCATCACTAGGTCCAATGTTCTAACCACTTAACTTAAATTTAGATCTATAGTACACTTATAAAACATTTTATTCTGACGGTCTTGTAATCATTTGTCCTAACTAGTTAAACTGCACTTGATTTAGCTTATAAAATATTATTGATAACAAGAACTGACTTCAGTTAGACAACCACTGAAAACTTGTAGGCACTGGACACCTCTCCCATCCTAGTATGTTACTCTACAGTAGTACATATCCATGACACCATAGGAGATCAACCCATGGCCCTAGGTCTTGAGAGCTAAAGACAAATATCTAGATCTCTCGCGAATCATCCAATGGTGCCCATATATAACTTTGATCATTTCGCGAGATGGTGCGCGAGCACGTCACCGTGAACAAACACCTTTTTGTCCGGAAATATCATTGACGATGTATGATTTATAGTGGCTTTCACTAGTAAATTATTACAGTACTCTCAGTAATGCTTTTACAATTTATTCGCTTAATTTTAGTATCACAGTCGTTTAGAACTTTTTCTGTTCATATGACTGAATGTAATTGTTCCTAGACATCTACATCTTGAATAAATTTTCCCCCAATGCTGCCAATGACAATTAATATTGGTACGTTTAATTAATAGACAGTAAACGCTCAATGTTTTTACACCCATATAAAGAAACTTGATATTTTTATTTTTCAATATCAACTGCCCAGCAGTTTGCAAAATACAAAAGGATGCCTGCACTCAGGTAATTAGATAAAAACGTTTTATGAGAATGACATACGAAGCACTGGTTAGTCTGTTATGGCTGTTTGTAAACAATTAAATCATATTTATGATATCCATTGGAAAAAGAGCATTGATTAAAATGGTTTGAAGCGATAATTCATTTACTTAAGAGATCGGGTATTTATTAGTATTTTCTGTGTCATATTAAACCCAAAAAAATAAAATAATAAAGTGTAATTAATGTGAACATGTAAAATTCTTTGCTTTTGCATCACAAGCTTGTATCAGCCATAGGACTTTTATGAACCAAGTCTGGATATTAAGCTATTTAAGCCGATTCGGTTTATGCCTACTCGATATTCTACACTCACTATCTCACACATAAACAACGCTCTTAAACCCGAATTCGGCTGCAAAATAGCAACTGAATCAGTTTTTACTAATGGACATTTTCATCGAACACTATCTCAGTAGCTACATGATTTTATTCCAGTTTCAACCCAATATTTGATCTGGGTATGCATTGTTGACTTCCAAAACTATAACAAAACAGCTCTACAATTTATTGTAGCTTACAATGGTCCTCCTGCTTATATCTGCACTATGAACTGTCTTCGAACTGGACAAATTTCTATGAACAACCCAAATGGAAACTAATACATTTTTCTCAAATATGATTACATAAAACGACGCACTAATAAAGTAACCAGAGATGCAAAAAACACAAATTTGCATAAAACATATTTGACGTTATAGATTTATTCCCTCAGAGAACAGAAACTAAAAATAATTATTTCCATATAACCCAGTTCCATTTTCATTCCAAACGATCAATAAGCAACTTACACAATATCGACACTCCTTCAGCAAACCTAATCGACAGTAAGCTATTATATCAACTGTTATGTTTAGAATATCCCTCAAGATATAAATAAGTTTTGAATATTAATTAATGATCTGTGTTCGAGAAATGGATAATAATAAAGGAATCAGAGAACCATTGTGCTAAGTACAAAAGTAGTTAGAGAAACAAGTAGATTGTTAATGGTTTCCCTCCGAAAATCTCTAGCCATAGAATTTATAAGCTCTAGAAAAACTAGTAGTTTTTTATTACCATGCTTGTTCTAGATATATACCTTGCTGACAAGGACACAGGGTACAGAAAGGTGCTAAAATAAATAAAGCATAATAGAATAAATTAAGTTGTACTTTTTCACGCCTCTATTTTAACCGAATAAAATTTTTTACATCCTTTCGTTCATTTTATCGTTTCGCTATATGAAGTTCAAACGAAATATGTATGCGATCAACGTTGTTTTCCGTTAGATCGTCATCAAGCTTTACTCTATTGTATTTGAATGTTTATACAGATGTAAGAAAATATCGAAACAGTCAAAATAACTTGTGAGGCAACGATCACAATGAAATAAATTGTATGAATATACCTAATAGGTATACAGTACAAAGGGATGTTATGAAGACAGGTATACTAGTAGTGATAATAATAATAGTTTTAGTCAATAGTTCAACATAGGAAGTAGATCAAACTTGGACGAATAGACTTTAAAATAATATTCGCAAGACTTTATTAAAATCACGTAATAAGAAGTCTGTGAATAATTAGATATCAAAGAATATTAAACGGAAAGACGAAAAGAATGTCAAATACAGGATGTAAAAACTCAGTAAAATCATTTGCTAAGTCATAACCACCGAGAGAAGGGGAATGACTCATGAATTTCTCCTGAGTACGCAAACTATTATTATTATTATTATCAGCTTTATTCAATATTATATTTTTGGTACAATATAGAATTCTCAGCGTAAAGTATTTCAACAAGTTTCCGTTTCTTTCTTCTTCGTCGGTCCTGGCGATAAATATTGAGTGATCGCCAGTTAGATGTTAGCAGTTCACTAAATGAACATCTGAATAATATGCATTCTTTTGGTTGTATATTGCCAGCAACCACATTGTCTCTTATTGGGTTGTTTGTAACTTTGACAACGAAAGGTTGTACACTTTTCAGAAACGCAGCAGAATAGGTTGTGCGATTAATAAACATAATGATATATTAAAACAAACAAAAATAGATAACTTGTTGAAATATCTAGATGACAGGAACAGGTAGCCCAGATGCTCAAGCAGGCCGCTGTAGCTTCTACTATCTAAAGGAGACGAAATCAAACCCTATTGGGAAACGACAATGGTATAAAGTAAATCGGTCGAAATAATTTGGTTTTATTTATCATAGAACCACTGTCAACCAGGTGTACCAAGGTAAAGCCATATGTTGTTTTTTTCTGATCCTCTACAAATCAAGCTAGGATATAGGTATCATTACACCAAGCCACGAAACGTCAGAAAATTCAATTTTTCTACTCATTGGGATATGACATATATACTATTTATTTACAAGCTAGGATATGTTTCCTCACTTGATGGTTAAGTTGGCTGACAGTATTCCCCACATAGCTATCTCCTCAGAAGTCACTGAATTTGTAAGTGAACATTGAATAGACAGGCTCAGGTAGCTTATACTTTGTTTAATTAGTTATCACTGATCTACTAGAAAAGACTGAGGTAATAATAAACATCCTCACTAATCTGTCACACGATATCGGTAGCTACATCTCCAATGAATTGTACTAAAGGAGTTTCTTGCAAGCAGTTCGTATTTCCAAATTCTTTTTCCCTGTATACTTTAGCTTCTTCAAAAAGCCTTTCGGGAGGTTGATTTCCGAGAACTCCAACTCTTTCGTTATGGTGTCATCTGAGAAGATTTGTTTTTCTGCTTGTAAGACATCTGATCAGATTTGTTTTGTAACGGATAGGAGTATACACTGTCAAACTGACTTAAGAGTTCTTCTTTACTATTATTCTGATCTACGATGATGATTGTATCGTCAGTGTGACGACATTATAGTTCTAGTTTGCCCATTAACTCATTGAAGGGTTCATTTCCTAATTTTTGAGGAGGTAATCAGTTAAAATTGAACCTGAAAGCGAACCCATATCTATTCCATCAATCCCTACAAGGAATATTGATGAAGATAAATAAACGTTCAGAGTATACTTTATAAGTTCCTCAAGGAACTCAATGCTGATTTGTTTTTCTGATATTTACTTACATATAAACTCGATTATCTCGACTAGCGGTAATTTGATGACTAAAGACATGAAATCTAAAGAAATTATATGTCTTCTACAAACATTCACACCTCCCACATTGGATATGAAGTTAAAAATGTTCTTCGCGATTCTTTTTACGAATGATTTGTTTAGAGGTTATACGATTCGAACTAGCCATTTTGCAATAATAAACTACGGAGAATTGCAAATAATTAAAACTGGTTAAAGAGGAGGATTCAAATTTCGGATTTTGGCCAAACGGTAGAGTACTGGTGAGCTTGACACAGTCAGTTTATGTGAATAATGAAGTTTATGTTAACCTATTCTATAGTTACGAAGACAATCATGACTATTAGATATTCTATTGAATGTTATTTCTAGGGCTAATATAAGCTGAAGTTAGAACTAAATATTCCTAGAACTAAAAAGTCTTTGTGCTTGAATGTATCTCGACACGATAAATAAATGTATGACAGGATCCAATCCATGAACAGACTGAAAGATTCTAGTAATTTATTTTGATTTGCCTTCACATTAACTGAAAGGGACCATACGCTCATAGTCATTCTCATTAATTCAACTGCTTGTTTTGTTAAAAGGTATAATTTTTGAAAACCCATTAGTGCTAGTCATGTTTTGGGATATAAAATGTTAGGTTTAGTAACTTGACACTGGTTTATGAAGAACTATAGAATAAAAATATGAAGTCCATGTACGCGAATGTGTGAAAATGCGCGTAACGACACTTAATAATAAACACATTTTTTTCTCTACAATTTCAGATTTTGTGTTATAGAGAAAAGGATAATCAAGTCACGTTATGATCACTATTGTGGTCATCCTACTCAGCTAGTGTTTGTTGACGTAGTGAGTAGAATAAAATGACAAGGACCAAGTGATTTAAAATCAGACAGTCGTACATAATGAACTGTTGAAAGTATATTATCGATTTGAGTTACATTAGTTTAGATAAACCCACAGAAAGTGAAGCTGCATTTTGAAAAGCAACGGAATTAAAATATTGATGTAAATATTTGTGGTACATCAAACACAGGGAACACCACTCAAAAAACGAATGAAGGTGGAGAATTATGCTGAACTTGAGACTCAAAAAAAGACTCAGGACGTTCAACTTCCTCCTTCTTCAATCGATTCAGAGTAACAGAATAAGTTTATTTTGACTCTAAATTAGATTTCATTTTCCAACACTGCTTTATCTAAAGCGAATGGCTGTGTGGATGGATGTCGTGCTTCGATTTTGTTCAGTTTACCTATTTTAATCTAACTTTATGCTAGCAAAAATTATGAATTGATTCAAGCTGTGACTATGCATAGTCTGTCACAACTAATTCACTTGGTAGGTGCCCAAAACTTAACCAACTAGTTTACCAACTTTATTCAGTACTCTGAGTCTAACGCCAGTTTCATAAACATTTAGTGATGTAGATATTGACAAGTATCTTTCAAAAAACCCCTGTGATCTCCTATCATCAGTCTGCCTGTACCTTTCTTTTTCAAACGCCATATCTTACAATTACAAAACAAAACAGAATTAACTGAGTGGCGTACTACAATAATCTGGCAAAAGCGTTTTTCGGTAATGAAATCTTTCCAACTATGTAAACACTATGAATAATTTCATATAATTTTTCTTATTTATTAATTTAAATGAGATTAAAGAAATACTTTGCAGTTAGAAGAATAGAAACGCATTCTAAACATTCTTGAGCTGTTCTTCATAGCGACCATTAGACTCCACATCTTATCATCTATTTCATCCAAACAAACTAAGTCATATATTTATGTTCATGGGCTACTAAAAATTCACAAGACTAATATTCCATTAACACTAGTGGTTGATTTTATAAACGCACTGAGACATAATCTAGCAAAGTATCTAGCTAGGATATTTAAACCAAATAACAACATAGTAATCATGGATCAAAAATACACCAGAATTTAAGATTAGAATAACCGTAGCACATATTATGGTAAGTTTACCAAGATCAAATCTGCTGGCCACAAAATAGCGTTTCACTACTGTTTGATTGGAATGCTATATGAAAATGATGCGGAAATTAGTACCTTCTGAGAATTGGTACATTCTGAAGTACTAGATTTTATAACACGTGTTCTCTTTTGATGAAGATAACAGTTGTTAGAACTTCAATAAACAAGAGTAATCATCTTATAACGAATGTAGAAGACAAACGGCTTAAGTTAAATTTAATAAGACCGACACTTAGAGTAAATAATTACCTTAAAGAGTTTTAGAAATTATTATAAAAAAGAAAGACAAATAAATCCCAAGTGTTTACTAAGAGACGAATAACACTTTAGTCACTCCTTGCCGTATAGTAACGTCGGAGGACGTAAGAAGGCTTCTAATTAAACGTTACATAAAGTTTATTTCCGCTCTGGTTATGCTATTAGGTCGGCATTAAAGAAAATCAAAGAGGAACAGTGAATTAGTGTCTATGAAATTAAACACAAAGATTCCCACCCTGTATGTGGAGAGACATTCAGACAGCTGAACATAAGGGTGAAGGAAGCACATTTCTAAATTCTCAAAAGACCTCAAAAAGCTCAAGAAAAGATTAATAATTAGCACCACACGCTTTACAAACGGTGAAGATCAATTTTGACGGGACTATATTGCTTCAGAAAGGTTAAGGTGATCACAAGGAAGGGACGATAGCCAACGCTCTGTATATATGGGTAAATCCATACAACCGGAGTAAGAGAAATAGAGTACAACAAACCACATCATGGAACCTGTTAATCAATAAATAAAAACACCTCCCTAAACATCCACCTTATCTATACCTTTCGAAACATTATTCCGATAACAGCAACAACAACAGATGTTTAATTACTTAATCAATTACTTTCTTTGTATTTACCTCCAGATACTTTTAATTAACATCACAACACATCATCCGTTTATCCTCTATCGGTATTTACATCGATAAGCTTAATTTATCTGAATCCATCTTCGTTTTATAGAGAAACGCACAATATGTCACGGACCATAGCCACAGGCTTTATTTATTCATTAAGTTTTTTATGTCAATAGCACAGATACACATGCCACGTTGTGACTACATCTTAGAACAAATTATTCATATTCGTGCTATGCTGAAATGAAAATCTGAACATGATTAAACAAGCACTCAGTACTTCTTATAAACCCTATTTATCTTTGATAACTTACACTGATTATTTTCCTGAAGCAGCCCGACCAGATTCTAATGCAACGTTGAAGTTATTTGAATTCTAATTACTGAGATCATTTTAAATATAATTTCTCAAATTTAGTGTTGAGAAAGTTACTTGAAGTCTATCCATCATAAAAATAAGTAAAAGTGGAAACGACTGATAGCATTTGATACGCTATGTGATGTAGCCAATGGGCAGTGAGTCAAGAAATTACTTATCTGATGAGTAGCATTTAGTGGCCCAAGATCTGATTCCACTTGGATCGCATGATGATTGCTACGGAGTTATTGAAATATACATATCGTCAAACCTTGTGTATAATCGTCGAATAACGGAATTAAATAAGTCAAAAACGGAAATAGATTTTTGAATACATATATTTTGTACGCTCATTGATATGGACAGACAATCAGAGGAACAGAACGAAGAGAAAAAAATGGAGCGAAATGACGTGCAACTCGATTTAACCGAGCGTTAATCAATATTTATAGTCAGATAAAATAAGCTACAGACATATGATAAGTAAGATAAGAAACTCACACACATACGCTCATACACCACAACAGTCAAGATTGATAGACGAATATTTAACAAGGTCAAAATATGATTGAAGGAGAATGAGTGAATTGGCTTGTCCGGAACCAGAGTAAGTTATGTGGGCTCGACATAGGACCAGCCACTACAAGCAGTCTTATAATGATACAATCGTAGTCTGTTATTGTCAATCAGTGGGTCAATACTATGGATTGTAATGTATCCAAATAATCTAAGATGTGATTTATCAGTGGGGAAAGACATACACCTCAAACATCATTCATATTTAACTAATTCTATGTTGAAAGTGGTCTTATCCTGCCGCGTTTGTGTTAAAGCATCTTTTACTACTGGTATTTTCTACCAGACCAAAATCTCATGTAATAGTATCTCTGGTCGATTAAGTGAGCCTATTACAGACTGTGAAACTATACAGTATTTCTTCAATGCTTAGCGAGGATTTATTTTTATTAATCTTCTAATGTTTCATACAAAAAACTGTACCATTTATTGAATATATGACTCCAATAAATAGGCAAAATACGAATGTCTTATGTTACTCAGACATATCCTTTTAGCCAGTGATTTTTTAGAACTTAGCCCCAAATTTTAGTTATTTTAGTGTTTAATGTTTTGTAACAGGATACTGCTTTAATTAATTTTTACTGTTTATTTGGAATTTTCCATTGATGTTTAGGACTGCAATTAACATTTGCATCCGGTTCGGTTGATCTCGATACTGCCATTATATCACAAGCGTACATAAGCAAAGGTGGATGGTGGCATATGGTGGAATCTCGAACGCATATTTCGCCTTATTCGTTACTCTTCAATTGGTTGTATATCGGCTTACTCCTAAGTTAGAATTATTGATTCGAAATAGTGAGCTCTAGATATAGTACTTCAGTGTGTTAACATGATCCGATATATTTTACATAGAGAATGAAGCTATGTTTGTTTCTCCTAGTTTGGAGTAAAACATTGTGTGAAATATCTTACCTCACTTTTTCCAATTTTTAATTACAAGTAAGGTCGAAACCCGTCTTCTTTCGACTTTGTGGGAAAACTTCTGGTTGTACTTTCCTGTGAGTCAATAGTACTCTGAATGTTTTCAAAGAAAAATAATAAGATCGAAAGTACCGTAAAAGTCAATAATTAGCTAGTAAACAATGGAAAATTCCGAGAGAATTCAAGGAAGAATTTTACTTATTCACAGACGTTTGCCCAATTGAAAATAAGGTAAATGCAGAAACCACGGGAATGAGATTTCTAGAAGATAATTCATTTGGAATATCAGCTATCATTTTCATAACAATCTGTAAACAATAGTATAGTAAGAGGTTCCCTGTTTGAAAGAAAGTAGAGCAGAAACAAAACACGAAGAAGAGGTGTACGGTCGTTTACTTTGTCAAAGTGTTGAATAACATATAGCTAATGATACGTGGATATTCGTTTCATAATAGTCTCGTCATGGTGCCGAAATATGGATATACTAGATATTAAACTCAAAGATTAACATTCACGCCTAACGACCAGTTCATATTCTGTTAAGAAGTATTCTTAAGAAAAAAAACGAGTTTCCAATAAAACCTTTAATTCATCTTTTTTATTTTTTTACCAGGAAAAAACCAAACAAATTGCTACATCAAACAACCGATACAAAAATAATCCCTTGTTTAGCCTCACGTCACATCGAGTCATTGTTTATGTTTCTTTCCAGAAAAGCTAGTAGTCTGTTAAGGCTTATGGAGTGGACATTATTTCTTTAAATGTAAATCGCATACATAAAAGTAATTCTCTAAGCAACCAATCATCAAGCTGATTACACAATAGTTGACCTCCATGACTGAAAACTCTACGATTGGTTGATTGATTTTAATAAATGATATGCAAATAGATCTCCATAAACTATTGGGCAAAAAGAAGCGTACAAAAAAGAATGTCCTAGCATAAATAACGCCCGCGTATTTCGATAAATAAGCTTGATGAAAGTCATTCAAATCAGAATCTTAGTTTCCCTTTAGTCAGTTTGTCTTTGATAAATATGCGTCCTGCTTCGTAACATTCTGAAGCAGATTAAATGTTTTATTTCAAGAAAGAATTGTCTAAATGCAATAACTGGAGTTCAGCATCAAGGATAAGTAAAATACATTACAACAATAAAAAAGACTTATTCGTGATCATGGTGCATCTAAATATACTGAATAAATTCATAGTTTTATAAAATAAGCGAGATTTCCCCCTTTTAAAAGATTTTCAGTCGGATTTCCCAATTGTTGTAAATATAGATTCTCATTCATTCAGTTCAAAAGAGTTTCCCATTGATCCTCGTTATCACAGTATCTGTTTCTGAATTTTTCAGCTTTTCAACTTATGTATTTAAAAGTTTAGGGTTATGTTTAAACAGCTATTTTCATCCAGGCCTTTGTTAGTGAAAGTATCAAAAATATTCATTCGCTATTTATCGCCTGACTATAAGTTACATTCGATTTTACGAATTCATGTTTTTATAAAATATCACCAATTCTTTAACTTTTTAATTCCTCTGTGTTTCCACCAACTGAAGCTAACCCGTGGATTTTTGTTGAAATTTGACGTGGTGGTTTATTCAAATGATCGTAGTTGGATAACTATGATATCCCTCTTTAAGATGTAACAATAATAATAATTGCCAGTATGGAGGTTCATGGAAATCGGTGTATTTTAATAGTTGAATTCATAAGTCAATGTAATCTAGACCAATATTAAAAATCTGGAATCACTACACAGCTGTTTCGACCTAGTATGGGACTCCTCAACAGTGCTCGTCCACGAGTCCGCACACGGTAGTCGAACCCAAGACCTTCGGTCTAGCGTGCGAACGCTTTACCTCTAGACCACTGATCCGGAATTCAACGGTGTTAATTTCTAACTTCAATCGATCGTGGGTACGCACTGTTGAGGAGTCCCATACTGAGACTAAATGGCCGTTCAGTGTTTCCAGGTTATCAACAGTTGTCTAGCTTAGATTGACTAGTGAGTTTAACTGTTAAATTAATAACTTTGTTGGATAAATAATCACAAACCTTCAAGTTGAATTATATCAATAAGTGGTCATATTTCAATAAAATTATATCCAATATTATCAAATGTAAAGTAAGTTTATTCAAATGTCATGGGAGAGATGTATCATTCTTCATCAATCTCCTTACTAAGAACAATTAGCTGTGTGGCTACTAGCTGACTGATCATTACTGAGTAAAAGAGTACCCATAAAGCCAACAGTAACGTCTATCCTCTGTACGTAATCGAACAGTCACTCAAATTACACTGTTTCAGGAAAGAAGCTCAAGATTTATAAAACTTCTTGTAAGTATGTTTCATGAGCTTCAAAAACAGCTCTTCAATTAATGTACTTGACTAATCGTGACACTGTGAATCTTATAGTAAAATTGTCAACAAAAACCAACAAGGTCTACTTTATGTTCCGCGAAGAATTGAAGTTTTTTAGCTTGAATTAAAATTCATCGTTATAAATCACAATAATCTGTGTATTTAATGTTCTAAACAATAAACACAAAACAATCTTCCATAAAAGAAGAATAAAATACATCACAGTTGTTGTTTTTGTGTGTCAAAAACAGATACACAGTCATCTAACTGACAAGAAATTAGCATAGTCGAGAATTCAATTTCCTTGCTTTTCGCTTATGTAATAATATCTACCACAATTTTCTAGAGTCTACTGCTCGCACATATCTTAATGAATACTAACCAAATTAACAATTGTCCTGATAGTCAAAAATGTCTGAATCCCAGACTGCTCACTAGCAGTCAGCGCTTTGTGTATTATTTACATCGTTTACAATTTATGATGATCAGTAATGTTTTCTTGTTTTATCCTAACCAAACTAATTACAATTTTCATGGGACATCATCTATCAATAAAAGAGTAAGCAGAGAACTTAATTATTTTTAGAAAATATTTTTATTTAATTATAGAAATTACCACTTGAAAAACATGTTGATTAAACCTTCTAATTCTAAAGAAACAACATAAATTATTCACTTCAGAAGTTATTTAAATAGACAGATAAAAAGTCATCTGACTATTATTAAACCAGTCATCAAAAAATTACTTATATGTTTGACGTACGTAGGCTAAGAACTCATCATAGTCTAGTTCACCATCCTTGTTTTTGTCATTTTGTGTCATCCAATTATGTAAACTTTTTTGGTCTATATCCATACCGGAGGATTTGAGAAATTCGTCCAATTCTTTGATAGAAACTTTTCCCGAACCATCCTTGTCTATGGACTGAAATACTTCATTCCATCTTGCAACACTTGAAATAAAGACAGTAAGACGATTGAATGTGGAAAGATGTGATGAATAATAATAATGAAAACAGTTGAAACTCAGATGATCATATAGTCGAATCACAACTCTATAGATCACCGAAAAATAAAGGTAATGCTGTACACAACTGAATGCAAATGAACATCCATACATCATGTAACTGTTAGAGTCGTGTATGAATGTTAGCTTAAACAGTTTATTTTATTTATTAGCTTTCGCTGTCCTCACAAGTATGATTCTGAAATCAATGAATAGTCTATTTAAGGCTAAAATTGTCCTCACGTATAGTGTCACCAGTGAATTCTCTAAAAGTGTTCGTTGTCAACTAATTAAATATTACTTCCTTGAATAGATATGATTAGCAATTATTTATTAACTGTATTGTGATTCTTACCAGATGATTTTATATTTCATTTGTCAATTGAAAGCGCTCAACTTTCGACAATATTGGAAAAAACATTTACTTGCTTATCAAATACAAATAAACTTACCACTTTTCACGAGGAGGGAGTTTTCTTAGCGCGTTTAAATACTCCTCTAAAGAAATTTTTCCATCACTATTCATATCAGTTTCCTTGATTATTTTCTACACAACATAAATGTAGATTTTAGAGACATGTACAAATATTAATATAATACATAAATAGCATATATATATATATATATATATATATATATATATATATATATATATATATATATATATATATATATATATATATATATATATATATATATATATATATATATATATATATATAACTCTCTTCCTTTCTGTTTCTTTTGGTGTTTGACCGGATTATTAAAAACCTCGATATCTGAGGGGAAGCATGGAATACAATGGACAGCCTGGATGAAACTGGACGACATGTCTCTTCTATCCCATACACACGAACAAGTGCAGATCAAGACAACCAGTGTGGCAGAAGCCTCTGCACGAGTAGGCCGCAGCATACACAAGGTTAAAAACAAGATCCTGAAGTACAACACGGAGAACACTAACCTACCCACACTTGATGAAGAAACTCTGAAACAGGTGAAAACTTTCACGTACCTAGTCAGAATCATCGATGAATAAGGAGGATCCAACGTAGATGTAAAGGCAAGGATGGGAGGCCTCCCATCAGCATACTCCACCCAACCCTATCCTGGACAATCCTTTCAACTTGTTTCATGTCTGCTTCTAATTCTCGATGCAGCATGTTATTCGGCCTCCCTCTTTTCCGTTTCCCTCCAGGATTCCAAGTTAGAGCTTGTCTCGTTATGCACTTTGACGATTTCCTTAATGTATTTCCTATCCACATCCATCATGATTTCCTAATTTCCTCTTCATCTGGAAGCTGATTTGTTCTCTCCCACAGCAGGCTGTTGCTGATGGTATCCGGTCAACGAACATTCAGTATCTTGCGTAGAAAATTGTTTATAAATACTTGTTGACGATGATTTTATATATATACATATATATATGTTGAGCCGTGAAAACCAGCACTAGTGGTTTGCTTAGATGAATATTTCAGTTGCAGATTGACACGATGAACATTAGAAATATTCTTACAGGGTACTTTCAACTAAGTAGAGTTCACTATAGTTGAACGTAGCAGCCAATACACGAATATACCGAAAAATTAAAACAAAACTGTCTGTTCATTGAAACAAAATGGACTATAAATCGCCCAATTACATCAAAGTTACGTGATATTATTCCGTATATTATCTGAATGTTTTAATATGATTTTAACGTTATTTTTTAACATTCTTTTGCTCAGTTTCTTAAATTAGGGTTCCCAAAATAAATGTTTAGTGGAACGAAAAGTATTCTTTTATTCCTCCTGGAGTCCTTCTGAAAAATATCCTGATGAGAAGAGGAATTTCATTTAAAGTAATTACAGTTATTGAGATATCTCAGTTTAAAATATATTTCTTTGAAAGGAATAAACTTTTTAGTCTTCTTTGAGCAATTTACATTCAAGTAAATTTCGAACAATTAGAAAATAATTATATTGGTAATGATTAGATCAACCAGTCTATTCTGAATTCATTTTTATATTTAAAGCCTCTAATTTTCATGGTTAACCTACACTGATTTCAAAAGAACGAAATTTCATGCATTCTCCTGTTCGTTTACCATACTCAGTCTAAGGTTACTAGCAGCTTTGTGCACAAATTCACCAAAACAGATATCAACGGGCCACGTAAGGAAAAGGATACAAAACTTATTAAATGACTAAAGAAACTTAACGTCTTGAATATTCATGAAGTTAACTAGACTCTAATATGTAATGCTTAACTTCCATAAGTTTTGAGTGTGAGCTCGTTTCTACAAATCATTGTAGATGTTCAACATGTGATTGACGTACTCTAATGATTCTTAAGATAAAAAGACAACACTTCCTATGACGAAATTGGGGTTTTATTTACCCAGAGTTTACATGCAATAAATAGAAAGGTATTATCTAAAACTTTGCGTTAGAGCGAAAACTGATTCACAAACAGTAAGTTATGGACCTTTATTTCGGACCTACTTAGATTGTCAAGTAAAGATAAGTAATTAATGATTAATTTAGGATTGTATGGTTCTTGTCTGTATATAATATATTATTACATAAATGAAATATTTACTGTAGAGTCATTAAAATCGAGTATAACATTCTATTTTCCAAATGTCTACTTAAATGCTAGTCGCGTACAAACGTTAACTTCAGTTTTCAAAGTTTCGTATGGAAATTTACTGATAGGCTGGGGTAATGATGCATTTGCCAAAAAATAAGAACTTTCTCCACTTACGTCTGCGACATTCGGACAAACACCAACTTCTTTTAAGCACTGTGCAATTTCTTCACGAGTAAGAAACCCATTTTTGTCTTTGTCTATTGCGTGAAAAACTTCAGTCCATTGTTTTTCCTGTGACATTATTTTGAGATAAAGTGTAGATTGTAATTGTTGCTTATTCTGTTGACGTTGTAGTTTGCTAAGTGAATTGTAGGGCTTTATATACCTTTATTATAGAAAGAAGATAGATGGGTACTTATAAACAGGGTACTTTTTTAGTACCTTTCTTAGCTCAATATATAAAAGTATTAGTGTTTAATTGTTCATAGTGGTATTACCAATCACATTATTGTTCTGTTGTTGATGGTAATTTTATTATTATTGTCCTTAAAAGGACACAATATAAAAAACAAATATGACTGTAATAACTAAGCATATGATTTATGCTTATATTGTGAACAAGTTGTTTTGTATACACAAAAAAGAGACAAACAAACAGGAAAACAATAAATTCTTTCACTATTGCACTTGGTATACTTTATTTTCATTAAATTGCACACCTTATATAACAATTTTAATCAAGTATGTTGAAAAAGTTTAGTATTATCATTCGATTTAGTTAGAACTTCTTACTTTTCTAATAGTACATATTTTTAACATCTTTACTATGTGCTAACTGCTAAATGTTTAACTTTTTAAAATGATTAGTAAACGCTATCGAAACTAAATAAGTGTGTTAGCAAGCATGTTAAAGAATATCCTGCTGTTAGAAACCTAATGTTTAACTGTTAATATAGATAATCAATACAGACTTCAAGAATTCCACATATTACGTTTGTTACATCATTACTAATTAACGGATAATCCTACTTTGCGTAATGATGGAAATAAAACATTTAAATCTCGGTAAATTTTATCAACAGGAAAATATGCAAACTAGACGTTAGTTACAGAGTTAGCATATATATAAAAGAATGATTGACTGTCTAATGTTTATGTTACGTGAATACGATCATCCATTTGCGGATCATATTCTCTTTTCACTTATAAGTCCCAGAATATTGTCGACCTCTAGCTACAAATATTTCAGTGATTCATTTTTATTGTCTCGAAGTACTACAAAAACCCTTAGGACCGCTAGACCTGTTCGTTAGCTAATGTTTTATTCAACACTTTTTCTTGATCTCTTCATTTACATTAGTTTAATATGTAACCTAATTTATTCGAATAAACTGTGTTACGACAGTTCGAGTAGCCATAAATTTAACTGGACTGAGACTTCAATGAATACATATCTTCAAAATCAAGTACAAAGTAATTTTGTTGCTTCCTGAGATTGGAGCTAAGTTGTGTTCTGAAAATGATTCTTTGATGTCTGTACGAATGTAGTCCGTTCATATGAGTTCATGGACATATGTTGTCATCATCCACTGGTGTATTAGTGACTCATTAAGTATGTTTCGGACATATCTAAAAAATTTTATTTTAATAATTACTACTAATAATAACAGTTATTTAAGATAACGTCCAGCTAAAGAGCCGTATGAATCAATATGATAAATACTTAACTGACGATAAGTCAGAAGTATGTATAAAAAGGCTTGAAGTGTAGTATATGTTTGGAGGAAATGACTTGAAATCAGAATATGCCTCAATCCATTACATTAAAATGCTTAGCAATTCCTGATAAGCCCACTTTCCTTTACAACAGAAGTCTTACATTTATAGTGCTAAACCATCACTTAATTCCTGGTACTGTTATACCTACTCTAGGACGGAAATTGTGCGACTACCAAAATACTCCTTTCAGGATGGAATTGCTTCATATATTATTAAATTGGCTTTAAACTTGTTTTGTTGAAATTCCCAAAAAATCATCAAACTTATTAGACAAGAACTCCTTATTCGTGGATGTTGTTAGTCGCAAATCAGAAATGTCGACGAATGTCGACCGTTGATACTGGATCTGTAGATCCTAAAAATACATTTATGTTGAGTTTTCCTGGTTAAAACTGAAGATTATTCTACTAAAATTTCTCAAATCTGTGGTTTCCATTTGTCTAAAAAGCAATGGTAAACTTCATATTCATATGTTGTCCTGACCTTTATTTTGAGGATAAACTTGATTATACGTCAGATGATCTATTGGCTCAGACATTATCAGTAAGACGTCCAATGTATTGGAAGTATTCTGTTTACCATACACAAATGTTGAAATTCTAATGCTTAAACAATCGCCTCGTCACCACAACTTTGCTACATAAATCAGGACTTGGTAATCAGCAGAGTGAACTTTTGATGGTTGCGTAAGTTTATTTGTTTTTTGGCTGATAGAAATTTAAATAGGTATAAGTAGTACAGAAAACGATTATCACAGATCCCGTATGTCGAAAATCCACCAGTTGTAATGAACTTCGTGTCCATTTTCGTTCATGGCTTGGCGGAGCATTTACGAAGTTCATTGGGTTTCATCTCTCAGCACGTATTGTGCACGAGCTCTCACTGACATGCTTTATAAAACCGATGTCATTTTCAGCGACCTGATTAGTGTTTATTCGCTATACGTGCACTGTAAAAGGTATTCAATCGCATTTTAGATGAACAATAGTCCTCAACTTGCCGCAGATTATGTAACAACTTGAATTTTAAAGTGATGGTATGGAATTGTCGAGCTACCATGCATACTTCGTGTTAGTAACTGTTGGTACTTTCATAATACATTGATACTGTTGAGCTAAAGTTTTATGTTAGATTCAAGTAACAATTTTGATTCGCTTTAAGTAACTCTTGAAATTATATAGAAAAGAGGTAAGCATTATTGATTTGAATTGGATTCTTTATTGCATAGCAAATAATCTGAGACCAGAATACTTGAAATTTTAGATAAATGAAATAAATAACTCTTTATACTGGGATAAGTACAAAATACATGTCGATTTACAGGCATGATCAGTCTGATACAGACAGCAACGTTATATGTAAAGGACAGACATACGATATTAAATTATTTGAAGTGGTGTAGTTCATAAACTATTTTAGGAGAACATTTGTCACATGAATTACAACAATATGAGGAATCAATGAGGAACAATGAATTCTTTGTTGGAGGACTAAGACATCTTGCTAATATATAAATAATTTATTAACGTTTATTTCCAATGTCATTATAGAGTAGTTATAGATATTAGATGCATGAACCAAGGACAGTGTAAATTTAAAATATCTATAAGAAGAGGAGTTGAATAAATAAACTAAGTGATGTCAATCGTTAAATATTGATGGCTTTCCCTCCATTATTCGACAGTGGTAAGTACTAAAATTGTTGTACAAATAAATGTTTTACACTATGTGCTTTAATCTGTCATAATAATACAGTAAAATTAATTTCTGACTTTCAAAATCAAATTCTTAATTGCGTCTTGATGAAAACATAACACAATTATAGTACTTCGTGAGACTTTCTTATGTTCATATGGAAATATAGTCTGACTTAAAAAACAATGAAGGAAACTTTTTGCTAGTAGCTATACTAATAGTAATACTTAATGCATGAAAACTATCGAAAAAAAACGTTACTTAAAGAAAAAAAACCAGCATCACATTATAGCGTATAGTCATATGTCAAGCCAACATGGGTTATTCTAGTTTCCGGAGACTGATTTATTCACTCTTTTCAGGTCAGATTTAACCTTGTTAATTATCCACTTATTAGCATTGACTGTTATTATATGAGCGTACATGTGTGTATTGCACATCCTACTCATCACATGTCTGTAACTTATTTTCTTCTGACTGTAAATACCGAAGCACGTTTTTTATTTTAAGAGAAAGAAACAGTTAAGTTAGCAGAGAATGATGGGGAGCCCCTATAAACAAACCCAAGCGTTATGTCCATTTCGTCGATTAAAAAAAAAACAAATTTTTTTTCCTTTTTTTACAGTGTACATAATTAACCATATTTTTCCCCACAATTATTCGTTTTGTCACATTTTTTTTTCATAGAAAAAAAATTGTTACAATAATAAACGAGTAAACACTATTTAATTATTCATTTATTGTACACACACAAAAAAAAAGCAGTTCATCTTTTTTTGGGTTCAGTAACAGTTCTGTACATTAGTATCATTGTTAGCGAATCAAGAATTTAAATGACGATATTCTCATTACTTTTGTTTGTCATGCTATGCCACATCACCGCTATTTTCACGCCATAACACACTGTATATTATTAACGTACATGTCATACGCATCTCCACATTGTTAATTGGTTATTATTGTAAATATTATTTTTTTTTGTATAAAATTTTTATTATTGTTATTGTAACCAGTGTTACCTCCGGACACTCTGGGGGGAGCTATGTGGAGATAGACCTGACAACCTTATTTTGTAAATAGTTTTCAATGTTATTTCTATTTGTTTTGCCAATTTTTCACTGTATGTACATTTATCATTAAATGACTGTACGTGTTGTTTTAGTCAACGACCTTGAACACTTTTCCCGTTGTAATTCGAACATAGCGTGACACACATTTTCGGTTGTTCACAAATACACTACTACGCACATACCCATTGTTCTATTGTCGCTCGTTGCCAAGTCAATTGCGTTCTAAACTGGATATTATCCTCATTTCAGACTGCAGTGTCATTCCCATTATATCCTACGTCCAAGAAACTTATTGGCGTCATATTTACCTCTGTGGAATTATTACGCATTTATAATTGTGGATTTTTGAGACCAAAACTCAACAGAACACGCAACGGCTAGCCGATTTAAGTAACGTCCCTATTTCGTTATTGTATTTGTAACATTTAACTTGTAAATATCAATATTACTATTGATTGTTATTAACTTTGTTGATACTTTTGCGTTTATATATTGTTTGGTCCACCACAATTATTTGGTGAGCCTCGATTATTTTTTTATAGACATTTACTATATATATCTACATAATTTTTTATTATTATTAATCGGCATTATAGGTGATGTCAGTTCGTGATGAAAACTCTATATCTAATTTGTAACTAAGGTAAATTATGGTAATTATTGTGAACTGGATAAGCACCAGTAACACTGGTTGCAGTCAGGTACTACAGTATATACGAATGATTAGAGAGCGTACAGAATCCTACATAGACTTGGTTATACGTATCGTGTTGTTATCCAAATGCGGCATTTTGTGTACTCAACAACCGGAGTGCTCAAAAACAATAATGAAGCTATGTGGTATAGGCCGAAAGAGTTTTTGCGACCCTATCATACCTCCAGAGGTTGACTATTCTGTATTCTATGGGCTTATGTTAAGTCACCCCTCTCTGA